CCGAAAAAAGCAAAAAAAAAAAGTAAAAGAACACAACCAAAACCCCCCCCCCCCCCGGGAGCTCGACAGACATCAAGAAGAAACTAGATAATGTAGTGCCGGAAAAACTTTTAATCCCTATGAGACCCCAATGCTCCAAAGAATTCGGACAGGGAAATTACCATGAAAATTACAAGAATACTGCTCAATACCAGATCCTGACCATCAAATTTGATGGTCTAGCGCCTTCCCAAAATCCCCAGCACTCCAATTTCGAGAACCCAAATCCAGAAATTTCAAATTTCAAATCTCAATTCAACAACAAGTTCCCTATCCTAGAACCTATCAGTATATATCCACTAGGTTTATATCCTCGGACAGCGACGCAACTCTAGATTCATCGAGAGGATATAAAAATTCAAAATCGAAGATGGATCTTATTATACCTCAGGTGCAGCATCCGGCCGCAGAGGATCGAGGGAGAGAACAACCTTAGCGACGGGAGGAGAATCCGATGAAGAAGTCGAAGCTGTCTGGTTCTTCCATGCCTTGGCGACGACTAAAGGACACTTCATCAACCAAACCGCTCGATCCGCTTCGCCCGTATCCAGGACATGCCCGTTGCTTCGCTCGTCTTCCATGGCACGCTTCTCTTGTCCCTCCTCCGACCCGATCTTCGTCTACTACCTATCCGAGGCTGCCGAGAAAATTTGTTATCGGAGTTTTCAGTCTTCGCGTTTTGACTAAATCCCCAAGTCCTTGCTTTCCCTGAAGCGGTGGAACATTGTCTTTGAAAGAAAAAAACACCCTAGGTTTGAGCCGAACCGGTTCGGGTCAAACCGGACCAAACCGGATCAACCGGCCCGGCTGGAGATCATGGTGTATTGGGCCATGGCCCAGATAATAATATTCGAGAAGCCCGTTAATAGAATTCTTGTGTTGTAATCTCGACGGATTTTAAATTCTGGTAATATTATTGAGATGGAGAAATATTATTGGCTTTTTAATACAATAATAAATTACGAAACATGAGATAAATGATTTTTTTTCTTCAAAATCATAATATCTTCAATACACATTACATAAATCCTCAATATTTATAATTCATACATTTTGGGGATTTTTTCACATTTGTAATTCAAGCCTTAACTATACTGTTACTTTTTTTTTTCTTGGCAAGAAAAATAAATGATCAAATTTTTAATTCAATATATATATATATATATATATATTCGACAACTCGGGCATACGGTGACAAGACTGATTGCAATGATCATGACCGACAAGGACATCTTCAATACACATACGTTTGATTGATATATGAGTATACGTACAAAAGTATAATATGAAAAGGATGTATAAATAATATATATATATATACATATATATATATATATGGACCACGTACGTGGTGATAAGACAATGACTGTTGAAATGCATGCGGCTGAGGGCACCGACCGGAGGATAAAACCGAAGAATTTGGCAAAAGAGAAACCCTAACCACCACGGCTCCTTTTAACTTCTTCACGTAAGGGACCAACCTTTGTCCTACTTATTATCGTTTTTTAAAATTTTTTTAAAATTTGAAACCGAAAAACAAAATCCACATTTTCATGGAACCGCTGCATCCGTTAAATTCATTAGAATTTATCATGGAAACTATACAATATAGTTCAATTTATGTGTGTATACAATTTGTGCATGTTTGTGTGTATGTGTGTTTTGATAAAGGTGATATCCAACACCCAAGAGCTTGTGGGCGAGTGGTCAGCCGTTGTGTGCAAAGCACTCAGAGGTTGGCGGTTCGATTCATGGTTAGGGAGATGGTTTTCACATGGGCTGCCCCGGTCCTCTGGGAGATGTAGTTGGACCAAAGGTTCGGTGAACTTCCGGATTATCAAAAAAAAAAAGGTGATATCCAACTTGGATAGCTCAATGTGAAATGGAAACGCAAACGCGTTTGTTCCGTTCTGAATCTGAGTTTTAAATTAGAGAATAAAGCTTATATTTAAATCACATGGTTTGTTCACAGTCATGGTTTACTCACGATCCTAAAATTAATGTGGATACTCAATTCATGACACCCGATTATAAAAAAATGAAGCCCATGAAAAAGGAGCTTAGGACTTGATAATTTCAGTATTTGACCGTCGGTCCATGAACAGTTCGTATGTATTTGTCCGACTTTGATTGATGGGTTTTTGTAATTTTGTGTAAAGTCCAATTTCCTGTTATTTTTTCTTCTGTTAATGCTGGTTTTCATTTATATACACATGTGAAGGAACATCAATATATTTGGAACATATCCTAGAACCTTTAAATGTCATAAAGTGTTAGATATTTCGATACAATCATTTTCGGACCACGTAACAAAGATATGTACAATCACGACATAGTTAAATTAACTTTACAAGATTTTTTTTTTGGTTAAGGATATTACAAGATTAATATAAAAAGAAAGTGTCCTATCAATCAAAATCGAGTTAGGTATACAGAAATTGTGAATGCATCTAAATCTAATTTTGACCATAGACTTTTTAAAAAAAATACAATGATACGTCGAGTCTAGCCATGCATGCGGTCATACTTCTTGACCACATTTTACTTTTTTGTTCAACATAATTAACATTATTCAATTACTATATTCCTTCTTAAATTTTAATTAACAGCTGGATTGATCACTTTTCAAAACTCAGCCAAACATCATTTATTATATATATATATATATATATACCAAATATTTCAAAATGCGGGGACAGTTAAGTATAAAATATCAATGAAATTTAATATAGATTACAAGTTTTAACTTTTAAGATATAACAATATGAATTTAACGCATCATAAAATGCGTGAACAATATTGAATTTGGTGGGACAGTGCCATAACATGCCTCAAATAATTTTTTTTTTAAACGATAAAATTTAGTTATGTTATCGAATCAAGGTTCCATAATTTTATAATTAGAATTATAATTCATTGTGTCTAAGTCCCCTGTATATTTATGTACATCCTCCTTGTGGTGGAGCATCCGATTTAGGCAAGGCAAAGACGCAATTTGAAACATCGCCTTAATTCTAATGGAGGAAAATATATAATCTCGCAAAACATATTATATTTTGAATTGAAAATTTGGTCCATCCCGTTTTCTATTGTGTCGCTGAAATCACCAAGAACTTCGTATCATTTAAAACCCAACACAAAGTCCTAATAAGAGTGACGAAAATTGCAGTTTATGTGGTATATAACTTGTTGTAAATTGTTACAAATTGATTTTTATTACATTCATACTATGTTACACGCTCACTACATAGTAGAAATTTTTAATACAAAATTGTATATATAATACAAAATCACGGTCGCCCATTTGTCTTCTTCCCTCGGTCTTTTTTGTTTTATTTAAGATTTGAATCCGAATCATATAAGATGACTGCATTATATATTATCCACTATGGTAATGGCATTATATAAAGGGAAATAAAATGTATGTTTTTTTAAACAAAAAAGAAGAAACCTAGGGTAAGGACAAAAGGAAGTGACAGATTAAGCAAAATCAGAGGAGATGAACATTAACAGTTAAATGGTGTAGAGAGAGAGAGAGAGAGAGAGAGAGAGAGAGGCATATAATCCAATCACAGGAGGTGAGAGATCACATGTCGTGAGTCAGGAACACTACAGTTTTTGGGATACTTCCATCTTCTTCTCTGCCACTGTTCCATGTCTTAAACCTAGAAATCTATGTATATTATCACATGATGCATATATGTATATGCATATATATATATATCTCTGTCCGTGTGTACACTTCACTATACAAGTAAAGGTAGTTGCTTGCAGCAAAATCTACTCAATAAATACGATACAAAAGATATTGAATTTGCATTTAAATATTCATCAGCCATTTAACCAAATGAAAGTCACTTTCATGCGAGTTATATAATTCATATAGCTTGCTAAAAGCTTCTAGTTCTGCAGGGCAGGAGTTGATATCATAATTGCCATAACACTAGCCATTTACAATATTGTATTCATATATATATGTAAGTATATATAGATATATACTTACATATATATATATATATGTGTGTGTGTGTGTGTGTGTTGTTTTGACGTTTTACATGCCAACTAGGGTTGATTCCGTCGTCATGTTATAAAAACGCATGAATTTTATACTTATATCTATATATATATGTGTGTGCGTATATATATATATATCATAGATCAATATATAGTCACGTGGAGGTGCTTCCAAATAAACCGTTATTTTACAGAAATCTAAACAAATTAAGTCAACAAATACACACAATAAGTATAGTTTTGTCCTTATAAGAGTTTTATATATTTATACATGTGTGTGTATATATAAAACACATAAATAAGTGGAATATGTACAATGAGCTAAGTACCACATACTAATAAATTGAAAAGATTGAAAGCAGCCCACGGCGCTTCTTTTAGTCTTCTTAACAAATAATTTTCTATGTAACCTAGTTAATTTTTTAATACATTTTTCAACGGGAAAAGTATTTTTTTATTATTTAATACACTCACATACACATATATATATATATATATGATATCGTTTGCTTAATGGAACACGAAATCTAGTTTAAGTCCTATTTAGATCCGGCAAGCAAACGGATAAACTGGGAAAAAGGAGCATCGAGTTCATCAACAGCCAGAAAGCTAATTCACTATCACACCCGAAAAATAAAAATACTTAAAATAAGAAAAGAAAAAGAATTTAAGGGCCAATTACATACAAATATCGGAAATAAAAGCACTTCTCTTTGACCTAAGAAAAGTGCAAAACTCGTACCAATAGGCGAGAAATTAAATAACCATATAACCCAAGAGGCCAAACAACAGCAATCGAATAGTCTCTTAAACCATTTGGTGGTGTTATTGTTTATGCAAAGAATCCAAAACTCCCCTTAACAACAAAAAAAATCCAAATTCCCCAAACAAAATTAGGTAACGGACTAAAACTATATTATATCGATCATATACCAAATAACCTTAAGGGCAATTTATGGCAATAACCACATTCCGTTCCATATGCCAAATTCCATATATATATATATATATATATATATGTGTGTGTGTGTGTGTGTGTGTATGCCCACATTTAAGGGAAAACGTAGAAAAGAAACATAGGCGTAGCGTAGATTTAAATGTAGATAGCATTGGAAAGAGTAAAGCGATTACAGAAACATAAATTTAATAAGAAAAAAAAATCTAGAAAATCCAACTTCAAATTCGGACATTAACGTGATCATAATGACCTAAACGTACATTGGTGCATCTTAATCAGCACTAACATCCTAGCTAGGAGAAAGATCCTCACATTTTCCCAAAAATCGACGAAACATATAACAAAAAGAAAAGAGTAATCTCTCATATAGTGACAATTATAACAACATTTCCTCGTATTATATTTCAACCGACGCATCTGTAATCACATATCGTCGTCAAGACCGCGGAGGTGGGAAAAACGGCGTACCGGCGATAAAAGCGTTAAGCGGAGCTGGGTACAAGGAGGCGGAGTCGAGCCATGATGATGCGTTGTTGTTGTTGTTACCGGCTGTGACCGCGGTTGTAACGGCGTTTGCGGTTGAGGCCAAAAGGTTGAGGTGTTGAGAGCTCCCAGAGGCAGCGTTTGCGTTTGCGGCTGCGGTTGCTTTAGGGCTGGAGTTGTAGCCGTTGTGGGAGTGATCCGGTCCTTGGTCGTAGAGAATGCCCTTGAAGATATGTCCCCCGATGTTCACGGCCGTTTGGTAAGCGTACTCTTCGTCTTCATCATCGATCGAGCTGACTCTAACGCACCGGAAAACTGCCGGAGAACTCACCTCCGGCGGAAAGTGACCAATTTCCAACCCTAATTTCATCCCAAATCAAGAAACAAGAAAACAAATACCCAAGTTTTTTTTTTCTGTCTGTTCTTTGTTCATCTGGTCAAGACTGATAAAGATATGTATGGTAATGGAATCAAAATCAAATCTTTGATGTCGCATTTGTGTTTCAAGAGAAAAAGAATTCAAGCCTTTTGTGTGTCGTCAGGTTTACCGAGGAACAGTTGATTGAAAAGAAGTAATCAAAATAAAACAGAAAAAGAAAAAATAAAAGTTAGGACACATTCGCATTCTGGTGGACATGATATCATTCACACGCAAATGATGTTGTACTTGTTTACAAACATTCATAATTTGATGTCTTCGTGGCTCAAAGTTATCGAATTACGAAGCAATTCTCCTAACCCTAAAGAAAAACCTCCCCTTTTGATCAATTCATTATACGTGAGATCCGGAAATATGGTTATCAAAAAAACCCTCTTTTCATCTTTTTTCGTTCAATTCAAACGACACAACCAGAGTAATCAATCACTTACCGGAAGAATTCGCATTCACCACTCGGGTAACTGCAAGAGCCGATGCGCCTACTCCATGGTCAAGTTCTTTACCGTCATCTGTATCGCCTCCCTCACCGCTCGGCTCATGCAGCCTTTTTGCGTTGTCTCCACGACATGAGCCGCCTTGTTGATGCTGCAAGGCGGCGAGCTGGGCTTGACGCTCGCGGCGCTTGGCGGCAGGGACCCACGTGCTCTTCACGTGGGTTTGACACTGAAACCCTCGGCTCTTACAACAAGTACGGCATCTCATGTGGGCACAATCTTTCTTAGCTTGGTTCCCACAGTCTTGGCAGTTCATGCCTCCTTGTCTTGTCACCGTGAATCCGCCGGATGATCCCAAAGGTTCATCTGATACAACATTGAAGTACAAACTCCGACAACGGTTGATGTTATTGTTGTTGTTGTTGTTGTTGCTGCTGCTACCGCTCCCATTTGGGACCATGCCAAGCGAGTAGAAGTTCGCTGGAGAAACATGCTGTTGTTGTTCTTGGAAATACTGTGGAGGCCATAGCTCGAAACCCTTGTTGTTGTTGTAGATCTCGTCTTTGTATAGGTAAAGATAGTTGCTTTTGTCTTCTTGATCTTTGTCTTGGTGGTGATGATGATGATGATAATTGTGATCTTGCTTGTTGTTGTGATGATCTCTCCCTCCTCCTAGATAGAAAAACCCAGCCATTTCCTCCTCCCACAACAATCCATATCACACACGGAGAGAGATTGAAAAAGATAGATAGAGAGAGAGAGAGAGAGAGAGAGAGAGAGAGAGAGAGAGAGAGAGAGAGGATGAGAGACTGTTTGGTCTGTGAAGGGTTTGGTGAATCTTTGATAGGTAAAAAAAATCCTTTTTTTTGTGGGATTTTGTGTTTAATATATATTGCTTTTGTTTTTTGTTTTTGTTTTTGTTGTGACTTTGCTTGAAGGGGCTGCAGTTTTTCTTGGGATGTAAAGAGAGAGAGATCGGAGAATTAGCAAATGAGAGTAATGATGGCGAGGGGATTAGGAAACTGCAAACGCCGCCATGGTTAATCTTCTCAGAGAAAATTTCTGCATCTTCATTTAATACAAAAAAAAAAGAAAATTAAAAACTTTATGATCTCTCTGACATGAAAAATTTCAGCTTCTGCTATAATTTCTATAGAGAGAGAGAGAGAGAGAGAGAGAGAGAGAGAGAGAGAGAGAGAGAGAGATGGAGGGAGAGGTTAAGACATTAATACTATGAAGATCTCTAAGCTATGTAGCACTTCTCCACAGTTGTCTTCCAGTCTGAATGAATCCCAATCACAGAAATATCAGACTTTATCAAATAATAAAAAAATAAAAAATAAAAAAATCAGACAATATTTTTTAAATATTTTTTTCCTCTGGAATTATCTCTGGGGTTTGTATTGTATGCAAATCTACTCTGATTTAACCTTTTATGTTTATTTTTTTTATAAAACCTTTTATGTTTATTTAATAAATCTTTTTCCTAAAACTGAATTGTGTCCCTATATATAAACCATGAACGAATTGTAAAGATAGGCAAATTATCTTCTATTTCTTAATTTTTTTTCTTTGTAATTTTCCTGTGTAGATGTGAAGAACTTCGTTATTTGGCTGGCAATATATATAATGATAATACAATTAAAATATTTAATATAATGCTCAAAATCCATTGAAAATTATGACATACGTGAATTAAATTTGTCGACGTGGATAATAATGATTATTAAATTTAAATTGCAGAAAATGAAAAATAAAGTAATTTGATTCACACCGTTGATTTATATGAACGGTGAATATATATGCACGTGGCAGAACATAAACTTTTCATTTTTCGTCCCTCCCCGTAAAACCCTCCCAACCTTTTTCTTTCTTTCTTTTTTTTTTACTCCCTCCGTATCAAAATAAATATCATTTTACACTGTTACAATTTAAAAAAAAAACTAAAAAAACCATATATATTCTTAATAACCATATTTTTATTTATGATCAATTAAATTAAGATATTTTTAAATAAGACTAAAATTAAAAACTTTAGCAAAAAATTGTCTACAAAATATAAAACGACATGTATTTAATAACATTTTTTTCAAACGATATGTATTTAAAAACGAAAGGAGTAAAATCATTTCTCGGTTCATTAATTCTTAATTAATAAGCAATTAAATTTTATGTTTAACCCATTAATTAAATGTACTCATTCGCATAATTATAAATGGCAAGAGTAGTAGAGATATCAAATGAACTGGTCCAAATCGAACCAATCTGGTTTGTCGATAGCTATCATTTTATTGGTTTAGACCAGATTAAACCGTTTATAAATAGATTGAAATTTAGCAGTTCAACCAACTCGCCAAACTCGTGGGATAAACGAGTCGGTTCACGAACTAACAAAATACAATTCAAGTATAATACTCTCAGTATTTAATAAATTTGGCATGTATACTATTTACCATTGTCTTGACATGCTCATCACTACTGTCCAAATAATTCTTCAACATAATCTTAATTCGAAAAAATATGTCTGAAATATAGGTTGGAAGTAAGATAATTGGAATCAGACATTGTATTCCTAATCTAGTGAAACAACCTTAATAACTCACATATTAATTGGTTCTGGCCTAGTCCATTCTTTATCAGAATGACAATGCGTATAACTTTTATCGACCACTTTAAACATATTGAAAGTAAGTGATATTTGAAAGTCTTTTCAAGCATAAGAAATGTAGAGTTCCATCTAGTAGCAATGTCGATATGATATTATCGTAAAGATGAAGTGTATCTATGTATCGAAAATAGAACAAAAGTTGTTATATTAGTTGTAGGTGTGTATGGTTTAGTTTTGTCTTCTAGACTAGTTATAGAATCAAGTAATTGTTATTATATATCTGCGATAAGTAGAAACATAATTTCTATATCCTACTTAGACTTGGATTGACTTCAGTTTGTTATTCAAAATAACAACCTTTCAATCTTCAAGGATGATATCTGATCGTACCAATCTTGGTGAATGGATTGAGTCAATTAATAAAACCTAGACTAAACCGATTCTGCAAGGGTATGGATCGATTGTAGTATCAGGGTGGACCACAGGGACTGGGTAGTTCTAGCATCGATTTTTATTCTATCTATAGCAAAGATCGATTGATTGAAGATCGTTAGTTGGTTAAAAAAAATATACCTAAAGACACTGTATGTTTGAAATTTTATCTGTCTATGATCTGTTCCAAAAGATCTAGATTAACTTGTGGTTCTTGTTTTGGTTAGAGAAATTCAAATTTCTAATCTATGGTGTGTATGGGTTAGGGATCATCATCCTCTATCTGGTATTTTTTTCTATCAACTTCTTCATTTATAAGTAAAGACTAAAAACATTAACATTCGTTTTGATTGAGTTAACTGTAAATAATAGATCACATTCATGTATAGTGCGTCCACACACATCTAAATCCTATTTTTAATATTTCCCATATTTCCCCTAATTGACCGAGCAATATACGATGTCGTTTAGTCCCATTTGAAGCCTCCGGCTGAAACGGAGTCTTCCCCGGTATAATTGGTTCATAATACCATTCGGCCCCATAATGCAGCAGTCTCATAAAATCTTTCAGAGTTAACTTTTTTTCTTTACAAAGCACACATATATATACACACACAATTTACGGTTTACCAAAAAGTTTATAAACATATATAATTTGAAATATTTGGAACGTCACACACACACACACATATATATATATATATTCGTAATAAATAATAATCTCTTTCGCTAGATAATTCATAATTATAATAAGAACGTGAAGAGACGGATGTGGGAGCCCCACTAGAATACTGCTGGGGAAGGTGGTGAACAATAATGGATGGAGATTTTTTATTTATTTATTATTAGTAATAATCAATATTAATTTCTTCATGCCTCTGCAACCATCATCAATTTTCCTTAAAGCTAAGTTATAATTATGCTCTTTCCGCCACAAACGGCTTTTTGTCTTGTTGCAGAAAAAATAATAATAATAATAATAAGGAAATGGCTCAAAGATTATTCTAAAGTTAAGATATATACACTTTATTGTCATATATTTTATATAAAACATATAATTGCTTTGAATATACTGTAGGAAGAAGAAAAGAAATCTCTTACACAAATTAATATATAGTTTAGCTCAATCGACGTATAAAACATTAGAAAAAAAGCTTTCAGATACTACATTAGTTTTTTTTTAGTAATTTGAAAAGTTCACTGATATTTTGACCAAATATTAGGAAAGTTCAGATAAATATCTTTTTCCACGTTTGGACTTGAAATTAAAATTTTACATCTTTCATTGTATACATTGGACTTATCCTCTATAAAAATTAGAATTTTATACAGAACCATACACACACACATATATATATATATATGAATGTATGTGTGTATGAAGGAGTTATTCATTTGGATCCATCTAATCTTAAAAAACTTTATCTGCAAATTATATGTAAAACGAATATCATATAATAGATCAAGATGTGGAATAAAGTGAACCATAAATTCATAAATTCGAGATCTGCTAACCCTTTAACAATTTCACGTTGATGGTGTATGTGATTGAATTAGAGATCCAAAACAAAATCGTATATGTGCATATATATATATCCAAAGGATCGATGTTATGACTGCCTAGACATTCATGATCCGGAATCCCGTGATTAATCAATGAATCGATACACAAAATATGTATCCATGTAATGTTCATTGAATACATATAACTCGAAACCAGTTACCCGTTTACATCATATAAAAATCCAAAAAAAATATATCGACATTGAATAATGATTATACCAAAAACTAAACCAAATCCCACAAAGGATTGTTTTATTGGCTTTGGAAATTTGAAATGAAAATGAAAATGAAAATGAACTACACGGAGATCGAATCGAATATTTTTCAAGTGAGGAAAAGTTATTTAAATTTTGTAAAAATATCATCAAAAACTAGTTTCGAACCGAGAATTTATATTAAAAAACAATTTGGGAATTTTCTCATGATCATAAACTTAGCAGCAAACAAATAAACATCAAATTTTTAACTTGAAAGAAAAAAACATTTCAACTCCATACTTTTAGAAACAAAAGCACGATGTGATTGTAACTGTGATCGGAAATTGTTACACCTTAGTAAAAAATAACGACAATGAATAAAAATGGCTAGTTCTGAAACCCTAGACGACGGACGAACGCTGCATGGGAATAGTAGAAACAGTACGTACGTTCACGAGAAAAACTCATACGTACACTTAGTATCCATCCACTTGTAGATGGAATTAACCCCACCACTTGGTCCCCTCGTAGACCTCTCTCTCTTAGGTATATGGGCCTCTATGGAATAACCATGGGGCCTTTCAACTCATGCTTCCACATGCATAACATTGGTGTATATATACATGTGTACGTACATATTATATATGATATTCGATTAAAGCTACTATATTAAAAGCTATTAGAGTCCTATTAAGCCCAAATTAATCTTTTTTTTTTTATAATTTGAAAGTTTACCGGTTCTTTGGCCCGACTATATCTTCCAGAGGATCGGGAAAGTCCATGTGAATACCCTTTCCCAAGTGAAGATTCGAATCCAGATTGAAAATGAGTTTTGCTCCCTTCCTTACCGGTTGAGCCATTCAATCTTGGGTAGCACAAATTAATGTTATTAGAGCCATGTTAGACAATGTATTGAATTATCCCGCATACTAGACAATGTATTGAATTATCCCGCATTACACTCTGATAACGTTAATTAGGATCCAACCAAGCTTAATATAGTGTATCTAATGCGACAAGATTCATTACATTGCCTAATGACCAAACAAATGTCTTTTTATACATGGAGATGAAGAATAGTGATTTGAATGAATGAACTTACATTGGTTTCATTTGATCCAAAACAAATTTTTATTTGGATTTTTTTTAATGGTTAACCCAAAATGAGGCTCAAACTCGAGTGGAAAGCATTATGTTTTTCACCTTACCGTTTTGTACCCACATTTAGGCTTTTAAAATATCCTTTAAAAAATTTATCTATATATTAGGGCTGGGCACAAATACCCGAAAATCGGGTATCCGTCGGATACTCGTCTCATGGATACCCGATTTTAGAGTACTCGTAATTTTTAAATCCGAATCCAAATCCTGATTT